TAACTCTAAAATTACGAATAACATTATGACCCGTACTCCTACTAATACTAAAGAATGATGTCATCAAGATAAATGATCCTGCTGTGGATTTGGTTGTCTGCTGCACAGCATAACCCTCTGAACATGAACTGTACTCCTAGTAAAGAATGCAGATGTTTCTCGGATASAGAAATTCAATGGGAGTTGTAACTGGCAATAATGTTGTCTTATTCTGTAAATAGGAATAATAAAAGAGAAATATGTTATATATGTTTTATTTTGTAGTTTAGAAGCTCGTTTAGATAATAAGAGAGGGAAAAAACAATTTTTTAGTTGACGGGCATTTAGCTTTTTCAAGAACTTGACCGGTAACCGGCCATATAGACACAGCAAATTAAAATAGCTTCACCTGGGAGACAAAACAAAACACTAAAGACAAAGCGTTGTCTTCCAGATGTCGCTGCATTTTCATTCCACCACAAACTGCAAGTCACTGTGAAGATGTATATGCTCGCAAGCAGCAATAAGTATACTTGAGAAATTGTTCTAATATAAGGACTGAAATTGTATAAAATTCTCTTTGTCGACATGTCTACAGGAAGTCTGATTAGACAAATACTGCGGYTAATATTTAAGAAGGAACTAGATCGTTAAAGTGCTAAGTAATTGTCAATATTAGCGAAAACGAAGTTTAAGCATGATATTATTCTTATGRGTAACGACAATGGCTTGAAATTTCTCAGTGTTTTGGGTTTTGCTTCCAGTTATACAAAGATATATAAAGCGAAAACCCTTTACCTTCACCGGGTTTTTCTGCGACCTACTGTTTCAGATATATTTATGCACAAACTCTATTCCATTAAAGTGTTTGTATTCAAATAGCCAAAAAGAAGTGCATAATCAAAACTCAAAATYCTAGACGAACTTCAAAACTGCGAAGTCGCGATGCAAACAATAATACTTTTGATTGAAATTTAGTCCTCAGCTAAATTGCCGGATTGGTTTTGTGACATTTGCTTCCCTTCTCGGCGCGATAAATGGAGTTGCAATGGTTTTTATTTTTCACCTTGGATTTGGTCACATTTGATAAAGATAGAAATGAATGGTCATATGTAGCCTCATATTTTATACAGCCTTTTGCAAAAATTATGAGAATTGTCTAAATATCTAAATATCATAATATCCATATCCATATATTGTCCAGAACACGCGGGTTTTCTAGAATAATTCATTGTTGACATCGAGAAAATGTTCAGAACTACGGATAAGTCCGTCACCGCCGAAAAAAACTAAACTACAAAGACAAAGGACAAACGGGAATCGCGTGGGATTACCCATCATGCAATTGATATTATGATATTTAGATATTTCGACAATTCTCATAATTTTTGCAAAAGGCTGTATACACTATAATATAATTGTATAGATACAACGGTGAATGAGACTCTTCAAAGAAAATATGATTTTTTTTCTAGTAACACAGTTCTAGACATATTTTATGACATTTTGAGAGAAACGTGTAAAATAATCTAACGAAGAAGTTACGTTGCGATGTTACTCCTGAACCACCAAAAAGTAGTTTAGGAATGTGGCAGTAAAGAACCGCCCTAGCTGTTTGTACTTGTTCAATATTGACTTAACCAGCACTTTCTCTACAATTGCCACATGGAGGCTAAAATTTGCTCCCACCCCTCCAGGCTAGTATCCAAAACTAAGCCCATAAAACGCGGCCTGATTTCCTGAGTTCCATCATTCAGGGAATCTCAAGCCAAAGACTTCATCCAAGCCAGAAAATCAAAGCGTTTACTCTAGTGACGAAAGATGAAGACAGTATTCATTCTTGCAGCTTTGACTCTAGTCGCGGTGTGGACCGTTGAAGGTAATTACCGTTCTTCAATCTTGAAGCATTATAGTTCTTTTTCTTTTGCGTTTGTTGTTTCAAATTGACGTTCAGTACAGTGAAGCTGCACTCAATCCGTGAAAATTGGTTTATAACTTTATTTTTGAACGGAGTATTATAGTATTTCTTTATACTGACTGATACATATTCACTCGAATAATATTTTGGGGAAATAGTTATAGGTTTTTCTCTGTTTTGATTGATTGGCTGAATACTTCATGTACGACATACTTCATTCTTTCGTAGCAAGAACAAATTTTGCAGCAATGAATTGCACTCTCTGCCTTTATTTTTAAGTAATTAACAGCTTCTTGATGATTTCACAGGAGCAAGAGTTCAAGATTCCATCGTTCTTCGCGTGTTCAACAAAGATTTGAGAATCTCTTCTGCGAAGATGCACGCGATCCTCAAAAAGGCCAACCTTGAATCCCACGGGTTCGAGAAGGAGGTCATCACTAAACTAGTCCGTCATCCAGTCAGCAAAAAAGCTGAGTACACCAAGACTTACTACTACTACAAGACGGTAACTTGTGACAAGGCTCTAGAAGTTGAGCAGGAACTGGAAAAGCTTCTTGGAGGTAATTTGTTGTTTGTTTTGTCCAAAATGATATAATCTGAGGCTATACAAAAGGGATACAAAAACATTTGTCATTGAGTTCTAAATCGTTCACATGGTTTGTCATGTGATCATAAAAAAGCGTATGATTCTCCCTTCTGAGTAAGAACCTCCAACACATGTGAATTTAATAGAGGAAGTTATATTTTTTATGGTGAGTAAAATAACAAGCAAGTGAACACTGCGAAAATAGCACTTTTGAACATCAATTGTCAGTAATGTCGTTTTATCCAGTACATTGTTTTTTTCTAGTTTAAAGTGAATTCAGCAAGATTTTCTAGTATTTTTCAGCCATATTTACTTCAATTCAAATGAAAAAAGTTCTAACAACTGAAAGACTGAATCCTTCGCTCTTGCGAATAGTTTTCATTATAAACAATAAACCAATATATTGCATTGACATGTTGCTGCAATTTTGCTCATCGTATTTAAAAAAACCGTTATGCAAAATCGTCCTGTTAAAACGTGTGTTATGTCGGATTGAAATCGATCGCGGAATGAAAGTCCTCACGTTGCATCTTAAATATCTCTTGTTTACTTCAGGTAAAGTACTTGGAGCGAGCGTTTATCGTAAGGCTCAGAGAGACTTCAAGAAAATCGGTGACCCAACAAAAACCTGTAAATCCGGACTCGAGGTTCATTTCAGAAACCAGCAGCACTGTGGGAAAATGGCGGACGACGAGAACCTTGACAAACGTAGTGCAGCACCTTGTGKTTTTTGCCTGGGATGCTGGCGTGCAGTTAAATATTGATCATTGTAACGCCTTAGGTGCAAAATGACTAAATCAGAACATAAATTACAATAAAGGAACTTATTAGTCTCAATGAAAACCCGTGTGAGGTTTGTTTACTTTGTCTTTGTCTTTCAACAAGCTGCTGAACAACATTGAAACAAATTACAGGGGAACTTTTAGATATGTGTCAAGGAGTATTAAAAACTCAATTCAATTTCTGAATGTGGCCTGTGTGATGCAGGGTACATTGGTTTTTACACGGAGACATCTTGTATCGGAGAATTAAATAGGGTAAAATTAGAATGAACGTGAGAAAGGTATTTGCAATTCGCACACGACGTGGATCCTCAGCCATGTAAAAGCCGAATCTCAATGACCAATCAGATTCATGGCACGGGCACCCTGTGACCCTCCCCTGGATAAGCCCCCGCTCCTGTGCATATCAACAATAAAACATTATTCTGTTTGGTTTGGAGATGACGATAGGATGTTGTCCAAACGCCTTGTTTCTTTCTCTTCTATTCCGATTAACAATGTCAAAACGAGTTGTGCCAGCGTTTAGCACCAGTAAACTGATATCCCCTTCAAATAGGATTGCCGATGACAACGGCGGATTTAATAGAATACAGTACTGCCTTAGATGTGCAAATATTGCTTAAAAGTTTTGGTGATTACATTTTTTAATTGGTCCCACAACCATTTTCGAAATGGAAAGATGAGACTCAAAAAAAAAAAAAATGATAAAGAAAGGGATAGATAGAAGCATCTATAGGCAGACAGACAGACAAAACTTCTGAGTGACGTTGTTAAAGCATTCAGTTATCTACAAAATGTACGTTAGATATTATATATATTACAATTCATCTTTGTCATGATTTGCCATGACAAACTTATACAAGCTTTCTAAATCACGATTACCGTTGTATTCCTGCTTCTGGTTTCCTTCTTTGAATAACATTAATGTTGGGTATCCATTGACCTTTGATAAAATAACACAAAAATATTTTCATAAGAAATACCGTTTCACTGTAGCAGGATTAACGTGTTATCAAAAACTTCCCCCCCCCCGGCAGTTTCCCCCCTCAGCCCCCTTTCATCAATGTTGGGTCTTGTTTTGGATGCTTGTGTACTATGCTAACATGATCAATGACAACATTGCATTAAGGGGACCTCAGGGGGTATTAAATTGTCTGCAGGTGTTGCTTAAAATGAGGAAATTCGCTGGAATGGTCCAAGGATTTTGTCAACGATTGTAGAGGGCATTAAGTTAGAGATGGTACACTTCAACCAATGAAATATGAACATACGAAACGTCAGTAAGTTATTTCACATATACATTTTTAATGGGGTTAAAAATCTTTGTGCACAACTGTTTCTTTAGAAACACCAACGTAGCCCACACTAGTTTAATGCTAGTTCCCACCATTTTCACATAATCCAGTACAATTGGGCACTATTCAAACCTTAGAGTTATTCAGGGTTTTAGGTACTATAGCAATATGGATATTTTTTTTTTCGGTCCAGTATCCTAGTCATTCGCGCGCTGTGATTGGCTAGCGCGCGGTCCGGTTTTTCACGATCTGCCCGGTCCGACGGTATCCTGCAGCTAGCGTGCGAGCAAAGTTGCATAAAATAGAAATAAAAAAAATAAAAATGTTATTTACTGGCTATAGGTCGGTCCGTAAAGGAAAACACTGCCCGAGGTCT